CAGTTTTTTATTTCTATATGATGAACTCTGCATTATTAAGTGATAAGAACAAGTAATCTGATGTCCTGTGATCATTGTGAAGGTGAAATTTGAAATACAATAAATAAAATAAGTTTTTGTACAAAGTATCGGTATCGGATCAGTATCGTCGACACCATCCTGAATACTACTTGGTATCGGATCGGAAAGGAAATCAGTGGTATCATCACTAGTAAATATTTCCTGCCAGCAGGTGTCGCTCAAAGCGGAAGTTTCCGTTTCGGTGGGATCACATGACTGTCTATGTCCGGGTGAGAGGTGAGGTTCTTGGTTTGAATACGCTGACAACACCAGTTTGTGTTTACACTCTTAATGTTTTATTTCTGACATTTTCTGAACGAGGCAACAGTTTAAGGTACGAACGAATGAATGTATGTTTCCTGGTGTTAGCATGCTGGCAGAAGAAGTGTGCTCCCCGTAGTCAGAGGACGAAACGGATTGTTGGAGCCATATTAGTCAGACTCTGGGATTATATCCGAGCAGCTACCTGCAGAGGGGAAAACTGCGCTTCCACGTTAACGAACATCCTGCTCAACAGTCAGGTAGTTAGTAGCTAGCTCATATGATGAGGAGGAAATCACGCCAGACCTGCAGAGAGACCAACCTCTGTTATAAAACGTCCTCCGCTTTATTTTGCTCTGGAAATAACGCTGCATAAGTATAAAACCTGCTTAAAACGATTAAATGCCTCAAAAGTCCTTCATAACCTTTAAAACACGGTGACCGTTAAGCGACGTACGTTGATCGTGACACCCAGTGTCAATAACGTAATGTACACATACGTCTCCATCCGGTCAGCTGCGACGCCAAATATGGATGTGAGCGTTAATGCTTCCCAAAAGCTACGTGGATGTTGCTAATCCTGGTACCCCAGGCAGGTTATTTACATTCAGCACAAATGTAAAGAAATTCGTGTTTTCTCAGTTATTTCTTTATTGTAACCATAATTGACGGCCAAGCATTTCAATAAAACAGAGGCAGTCAGAAGAAAACCGTTTCCTCACCCTGTCAGCAGCAGTTAGGAAGTGCAGCCAAGGTTTGCAGGACGATGTGGCCGAAAGCTCTCGACCCAGACCGAACAGACTGCACGCAGCCAGACGGCAGTGCCGGTGTTTGCAACATGTGCACGGAAACCTGAATATGTGAAGGCACAAGTTCAGCGAATGGTCCAAACTCAGAGTTAGGGTTGTTACCGCACCAGCACTGACTACCAGTTAACTTCTGGCACCGAGTAGTGACAATAGCAACGATTAGTTGACTAGTTGTGCACATCCCTAATCTAAAGTTGTTATGGTTGTGTGTAACTTTTAAATGCCCTATTTGCATCAGCCAAGTCAGCGCTGTGTGTTTATAATTTACCTTGATTGTGTTTCATTTCAGTTCAAGGTTGGACACAAACGCCAAACAGTCGTGTGACGTTAGTATGTAGTTTTGGAGGCATCTCAGCTTTGAGGGCTGTACCATGAAGTAAGTTCAGCATAGCTAGTTTGGATCAGCTGGCTCGTCAACACCTGAAATCGCAGGTGGGTCTTACAACAGCGGTTTTCATATTTCCTGCTTCAGTCTCTGCGTGCACTTGCATAAAATCTGTGTGAGACATGTAAGTTTAGTTCTGCACAGAATGAACTGATTGTGTCCCTCCAGCTATGTCAGAGACATGAGGAGGAGTGGGTGATGGAGATCTGTGAAGACCATACAAAATACAGCACAAAAGATTTGCTGCCTTTTCTCCTTTGCCCCATTGCGCACGCACGCACGCACACACACACACACACACACACACACACACACACACACGGTCGAATAAGAAAGCACCTTTTTTTTTTTTTTTGCCAAAAAAAATTTGTTTATTTGTGTGTTTTTTGTTCCCCCCCCCCAAAATGTAATTAATTCACTCATTTGCTAAAGTCATGTGTGTCTCCTGGTGCACTGCAGACAGGTGGACTTCCAAACATGGAAGAAGAGTTGTTGATAGACTGGCAGGAAGAGAAGCTGCATCTTAATCAGGAGGTGTGTCGGCTGCAGGAGGAGCTGGCAGAGAGTCATGCTGAAAAAGATGAGCTGGAATCCAGGAACAGAGCTCTGAAGGACAGGGTGAGAAGGGGCAGGGGAGTTTTGCTGATCATTAGACGAAGTTAAGCCTTTACATCTTTCTGTCTCCATCCTCCCACCAGCTGTGGCGGTCGTTGTCTCCCTCACTTGCTCTCTCTCTGCAACTAGAGGGTGAGCAGAGGGAATGGAAGAAGAAGGTAAGGGAGGGGAGAGAGAGGGAGGCCAGGCAGGCCCTGCTGATCCACAGGCTCCAGAACAAGGTGAGGCCAAACAGTAGTGCTGTACTCATAATTGGAGTAGATGCAGTGGGAGATGGAAAATATACTGATTGTGGTTTTATTGTAGGTGTTGGAATACAGAGAACGATGTCAGCATTTGGAGCTTCGGCTGCAGGATAATCATACACAGATGCTCAGCACTGAGGTCAGACTCAAGCAATAGTATTTGCAGTACCACAAACACACTGTCTGCTACGATACAGTAAAACTACCACAGCGAGTGTCGGCATACAGCTGTTGTGTGTTTGCTTTAACAGAGAATCATAGATGACTCTCTGGAAAGCGCCGTTCTCAGACTGGAGGAGGAACAACAGAGGTAAGTGGAGATGTCTGTCTGTGCTGGGTTAGACCTGCTGTGACCACATGAATTTAGACCCTCAAGTTCTGGTGACACGCCTGTGTTTGGAAATCAAAGCATGTAGAACTTAGAAACTATGATTCCCACAGTGTGCTGTGCATTGTCAGTATGTAGAAAGTACTGTGTAGTTTGTCTAATGAGCCTGGAAAGAAAAGCGTCTGGACTTCTTTAAGCTGCAGGTGTGTGCTGGCAAACGTGCTGGCTCAGAAAAAGTCAGACATGCGAGTTACACCTTACAGCAGGTCTCCAGGGGAAGAAATAATCACCTGTGACAATCTCTGCTTCATACCAGCAACAGTACAGAGGAATAAGCCCGAACTTGCCCCGCCCTCGTTCGTCTTTGACAGCCAAAACACACGGGATCATTTTAAATACAACAGGTGTCATCATTTGCTGCCGTTTAAAAACAGCATCCTCACTAACCTGTGGCATATATCCATCTGTGCTGGGG